GGGGGGGGGGGGAGACTACCCCTGTGCATTTTCCGCTCCCCCCCCTTTAGTTGCTGTGGTAAAAGTGTCACTAAGCGACCATGGGAGCAGTTCAGAGCCCAGCAGGGGCATCCGATGTACCGTTATGTGTGACACGATGGCCAACAATCCGCAGCCATGGCAACCGCGTAAGAATGCTGCTCGCGGGACCGGCCGACAAAAATGTATGAAATCGCATTAATAAAAACAAGCTTTCTGTGGCTGGGGGCGGGGGGGCAGGTTCTGCCATCAAAGGCGGCTTTTCCCCCCCGCATAAATTTCCACGGCTTGCCATTTTCACAGCAAAGGGCCCCCACTATAATAGGGGAAATATAATATATAGTGTGGGGGGGGCGCCCTGACCGCAGGCGCCTACAGCGGGCTGTCATCTTCCCAGGTTAATCTTCTGATTCCAGCAGTAAAAATGTCACCTCCAGCAGACTCCTGCCAACGGACAATTAACCAGCAGCAGAATGGCGTTACACCCACTAAATGCCCCAGGAAAGTACATTTACTGGGGGGCCGTGTGTGACTCAGTGGGCTGGGACACCACGCCCATCATACACCCCGGTTGTCGGTTCAAATCCCAGGCTGATGTCACCCTCAGGCCCCTGAGCGAGACCCCTAACCCCCATTAGCCCCAGGACCAGCTAACCCTGCCGTCTCACATCTTTACTCTGGTTACCGCAAAATAAAATGAAAGCTAACCTGAAAGATTTTTTTGAAAGTAAAGCTGTGTTATTGTTCAGCTGTATAAATACCAAAACATTTAATCCTGATTGTGACATTCTCAATGACAACAAAGCGAATGATTTTACAAAAGACGGGCTCATTAAGGTGCCCTGGTCCATTCCCCAGCAGAAGAACCACCGTGCTTCAAAGGCACAATGAATTTCAGATCATCACAGTGTTCGGACGCCCAGAAGAGGCTCATCAGATACACCCAGGCATCAAAGAAAGGCGTCTCCGGGGAGGTTAGGTGACCCAGCAAGAGGGTAAGAATGACACATCATTCCATGTGTGTTATGTCATCATTCCATGTGTGTTTTGTCATCATTCCATGTGTGTTATGTCATCATTCCATGTGTGTTATGTACTCCTACGCAATAGATTTGCAGGCAAGAACTCCTAGAAAGGAGAAAACCTACAGGATACCAGAGTAAACAGACTGTTTTATAAGTTCCGGAAGGCTTGGTCGCTCTCTCATGGACGGAGGTCGCGTGATCAGTACGCTTAGCTATGTCACCTGCCAAGGACCTCCTGATAAGCAGATCCCCAGGGAACCACTGGGAGGCGACGTTACGGTAGCCGTTTTCCAAGCCTGCCGCTTAATTGCTTACTTACTAATCAGCTGACATGTGTGCCTGCACCCTAGCCGTCCCCTTCTGTTCCAAGCACAGTAATTAAAGGGGGGGGGGGGGCGAGATCGGGAAAAATGGGTAGCCTGTGTGCTGGGTAGCATCTGGCGTGGTGGACAGACGGACGTGGGTCCACTCATCTGGTTCCAGGAGGCTGTAAAGGCCCCTCTCTCGCTGCATCGCTCCATGCTGAGCTGGTGAAGGAACAGCCGGCCGTCCTCACCAATGCCCGACCTATCGGTGAAGCCGTCCGGACACTGGCTCACCGCGGCACCTGTTTACTTTCACCGTAACTCTGAACAGCTTTTCATTGGTGTCCATAGCTGTATTATTTCAGCCTGAAAATATTTTGCGTTTAATAATGTATATCCATCCAATAACGAGTTGGGGGGGTGCCTGTCCCAGGTATTATAAGGCACATGGGTGGCGGGACCTGCACACAGGCAAACTCCAAACACACAGGGCAGAATTCGAACCCTAGATGCTGGAGGCGTGAAGGCAGCAGCATCTCCCCCGGAACCACCGTGGGCAAATTGAGCCTGACTGAGCAACACGAGCCACTCAGTCTGCCCTTTCTGCCTTAACAGGAAAAAGCGGGCAGTGGAGGCATGGTTTCCACGGTAGCGGAGGGGCGGGGGGCGCTAGGGGGACGTGGGGGCGCAGTCTCCCCGTTAGTGGGCTACTGCAAATAGTTGCACTTAAATTCGGTTGTTAATGAAATCACATTCGCCACTGCAGATGGGGCAAGTACATAGTGCGTGTTTAATATTCATTACTTCTTGATACGCTATTTGCTGTGCCAACATTGGCTAATTTTTTTTATGGTATTTTAAAATGTAGAGATATTTACAGTATTGTTTTTTTCTTATTGATGTACAAGTATCACAACTACCCGAGCAGCAGTTGAAGTGGTTCAACGTTAAACAGGTTGGCAGTAAGCGCTGATTACTGCTCGGACAGGCGCACTGCAAGCTTAGGCTGCCCCCTCGTGGCCATGACGGTTACCCTACGTGCCGTGCGTAAAACCGTGTCTATCCACCGATCAAGTCTTCTGCAAAAAACAACGTATATTTCTGCTACATATTTACTTAATAATACAAACATAAAGGTTTGCTTTCGTTACTAGTAGTTTGGCCGCAAATGGAGCTCTGGGAAAACTTAAAACTGGGGAAAATGACGATTTTACCATGAATTGAACCTTGACGTTGTTATAGAAATCATTGGCCGAGACACATCGCCCTTTACATTTGGGTCTGTCATGCGTCTCCAAGGTGTATACTGTAGCTGTCCATTTTTGTTCAGATTTCGTTACTGTACTGTCCTTGTCGGGGACGCATCCAGGACGCACCGGCGTTTACACTTTACAGTACTAAAGACATATGGTGAAATTGGACCCAGACGTCCTCGCAAGTGGCTTGAGTTATCGGATCACAGCGTGTCTGGGTGGTAGTTTACATTTGTATCAACTTGCGATCCAACCAACCGGACGCATTTAAAAAAAAAAGTGTATAAAGGGCGATTATCAGTCACGAAGTCAATCTGTAAGTCTAAAACGATGCTTATAAAATACAGTGCAATATTTTGGACCTGTTTAAAAAGCATTTTCACCAAATCCAAGTTCTAACCAGTAGCTTGGTGAAAGTCGCCAGGATATTCACCAAATGCAAATATCGTTTATGACCAAAACGGTCCTTTTACTATATACTACTTGTATGAAAATATTAAGTAAACAAAATACGTGTCTGTCATTTTCCCCACTAATGCATTTGTGGTTATTTCTGTGAGCTGTATTCCGGAAGCTTCTCCTGAGCCGCCGGGAGCAGGAGGCGTAATCACAGGCAGCGCGGAGACGATGCGCTCCGCCGTGTAGCAGCTGCCGCGGCTTCGCTGCTTTTAATGCGAGGAAGGGGAGGAATGCGGTGCCCTAAGCCCACGCAGGGGTATTATCACCCCCGTCTTTGGCCTCCGTGCACCCCCTCCAAAAAAGCGATGAAATTGTTAATTACCCCGCCGACAGCACACGTGCCATTTGCGGAGCTCTGAATAATTCAGCGCCGAGCCGGAGCGGGACGCAGCCAGCATATGGGCCGATCCCCGCAGAGGGCGCACCGGTACGCCGGACCTAAAGGCCACGCCGTGGCACCCAGCCAGTCGTGTCTGCCCATCTGCGCCCGGGGCCGCGGCGCTTCTCCGCCTTTAAGGCCGCCGGGGCGATCGGATAATGTAGTAAGTTCATCTCTTCGACAACATGCCCGCTGACATCAATTTCACGGGAGACACTACAGTAAAAAGATCGTATCCAAGCTGAATATCATATGCTTGTAGTATCGCGCACATGTTGACGCATTCAACTGAGTGGGAAATTTTAATGTACAGCTGGATTAAGATCATTGGTTGTTAATAAGATTAGGCGTAATGTATAAATGTCTTATTCCCCCATTTAACATGAGAAGGTTGGGAGCGGCTTTTCGTGTCCTCGGATGCCTGCTGGCAAAGCATATAATGTTAGAGTAGATCATTGGAACTGTTGCATTAAGATTTTGTGACTTTTAGAACTGCACATCAATATTTTAATAACACGAAGCCGATTTTAAAATAAACCCAGATGGTAGCAGCTCCATCCATCGTGGCTCTGAAAAATAGGGAACCGGAAATGCACACCAGAGTCACGCCCGCAGTATTCGGGTCGCTATGCTAGCAGCAGTGTAACGTTAGGAGAAGCATCTCATGGCATCGCGAAGGTCACACTGCGCTGGTCACGCGGCCAGGTTGGTTGATCTTGACCAGCACAATCTGATCCTGGCTTTTAACTTAATGCTTGAGTAAAAATCACATTTTCCAAAGCTAATGTTCTGAACATAATTTCTTCAGTTGCAGATTTACTGAAAGAAAAACAACTTCCACTAAGCAGCTGTATGGTACCTTGAACTCAGGGGCTCTATGAGACCGCGCACGGGGAGACCGCCCCCCACATCCCTCTAGTGTCCCGCTAACGGGGAGACCGCGCCCCACATCCCTCTAGTGTCCCGCTCACGGGGAGACCGCGCCCCCACATCCCTCTAGTGTCCTACTAATGGGGAGACCACGCCCCACATCCCTCTAGCGTCCCGCTAATGGGGAGACCACGCCCCACATCCCTCTAGCGTCTCGCTAATGGGGAGACCGCTCCCCCACATCCCTCTAGTGTCCTACTAATGGGGAGACCACGCCCCACATCCCTCTAGTGTCCTGCTCACGGGGAGACCGCTCCCCCACATTCCTCTAGTGTCCTGCTCACGGGGAGACCACGCCCCACATCCCTCTAGTGTCCTGCTCACGGGGAGACCACGCCCCACATCCCTCTAGTGTCCTGCTCACGGGGAGACCACGCCTCACATCCCTCCCACGTCCCCACAGCGCCCTGATAACAGGGAGAGCGCGCCTCCACATCCCCCACCGTCCTGCTAACAGGGAGACTGCGCCCCCATGTCCCCCTGGTGCCCTGCTAATGGGTAGGCCACGACCCCCCCCATTCTCTTTGGGGTTGGGCCACACTCTTCCGGAAGCAGCTGGCCCACGCTTTTTATTCAAATAACAAATGTAGGAGAAACCACATCCCTCAGGCTCAGAAACTCTGAGAAAATGAAGAAAAACACAGTTTATTTGGAAACAAATTGATTAGCAAAGTAGATATGATAGCATTGCATCTGTTATACAGACATACAAACAGTTACACACCCACATCTGTGCGGCACGTTGGTGAGCATGTCATGCTAATGGTGCTAAACAGGACTTGCATTCAGGACACAGTTTACATTCAGGTTCCACTGGAGCCTGTGAGCAGGCGAATGATGTCACTGCTGGCTGACTGTCCAGTTTATCTGGTGCGAACAGAGCTGGTTGCTTTTGTTACTCAGGTGTCTGCAGATTTGGAATAAATCGTGATTACATAAACCAGAGGTAAAACATACATACTGCGCCAAATATCTATTTTCTCCCGATTCTATGACTACATGACTCTTTTTGGTTGTCTCAAAAAAAATGTTTTCTAAGTGAAATTAGATACAAAAAGTTACTAGACTTCTAAAAGCTTTTTTAAAAACAATCTAGGAACTCCAGTGCCTCTGGTTTTGCAGCATTTGCTTCAGTATAGAAATGTTACAAACATTCTAGAAGGTTCTGGAAGCCTGATGGGTGACACACACAGACTGGCGAAAGGAAGGAGCCCGTTGCTGTCTGTTTTGGCCTGTATGGTGTAAGCCTTGAGGGAGGGCTTCCCCATCAGGACAGACATGTGGATGATGCTGACTGTCTCTCCGTCATGATAGGGGGTCCCCAGGACAAAATCATGGCTTTGGCTGGCCTGGAGAAGTGGGTACGAGACTGTCAGCTTCTCCAGCTTCAGGACGGCAAAGTAGTCCTGGGTGGGGACCTTGCCCCCAGTGTCACTGCACTTGACCAGCGACAGGTGGTGAACTTCCGAGTTGTTCAACAAGAGGGCGACGTTGAGCGGCGAGGTATAAAGGACGGTGAGGCGCTTCTCGGTCAGGGGTCTGGAGCCGTCGGGGCCATTTAGGCCGGACTGAGGCCAGTCCGTGCACTTGCATTCTGGGTGTCCGATGGCACTGCAGGCGACCAGATCCCGCGAGCAGCTGCAGGTACACAACCTACCCTCCGTCACGTACGCCAGCTTGGCGTCGGGCCGTAGCAGCGCTGGCACTGCCACGCACAGCAGGCAGGACAGCAGGGTGCCGCCCGTTTGCCCGCACGCACGCATGCCCCCCACCCCCCCAGGAACACCCTAGCACGCTTCACTGACACCCAGCTGACTGGGAGCCTTGCATTCCCACTGCACCGTGAGTTGAAGCTGCTGGAGAGCGGTGAGCGAGGAGCCTACACAGCTGTCGGGCGACGGCGGGGGGGTGACGGGTCGGGGGCGGCTCGTTCCCAGTCTCCACCCGCCTCCATGGACTGCTGGAGCCGTACACACCAGCTGGGAAGAAGGGCCTTGGCCACAGGCTGGGCCGGGCTACTCTGGAAACAGCAGAACAAACAGCGTCCATATTAAAAACTACACACATTTAGTGACTGTGTTCATATCCATTAAATGGTGGCTGATCATGTGATAAAATTGTAAAGACTGATTGGTCAGACCTGCCACTTCCTGCTGATCAGAATCTATTATCTTTAATACTAATAGCCTTAAGGAAGCTGCAGGAAACGTTAAAAGCAGGGGGGAGCTCTGTCCTGTCCAAAGTCCTTAATAACATTTAAAAAACATCAGAAGTTTAAAGAGGTTATTGGGTCCTGAAAAAAACTGGATGGAACATTTCCCAAATCTGGTTTTAGTCAAAGCTTCTTTCTCGTTACTTAAGTAGAAATGTGGGGTTCCTTTAGGACCCGACCCCCCCCCAGTCTGACGAGTAGTACTGGAAACAACCAGCTGTGCTCCATTAAAACCCGAATCCTGAGAGATGGGTGTGTCCCGCACGCCTCACTATAGCTGCTGCAAGTTTTCATTTTCCCAGCACACACACAGACGCACACACACACACACATTTACACACACATTTACACACACACACACACATTTACACACACACATTTACACACACACACACACATTTACACACACACATTTACACACACACACATTTACACACACACATTTACACACACACATTTACACACACACACACACACATTTACACACACATTTACACACACACATTTACACACACACACACACATTTACACACACACACATTTACACACACACACACATTTACACACACACACACATTTACACACACACACATTTACACACACACATTTACACACACACATTTACACACACACACACATTTACACACACACACACATTTACACACACATTTACACACACACACACACATTTACACACACAGTACTATTGACAACACACTTCCAAATGATAGCAACAGTAAAGCAGGTAAATATGTTAAGTTTGGTCTGAGTTCAGACTTTTGCAAAAGAAAAAACAACTTCTGTCTAATGTAACTATAGGTATCTAAGGAAAATATCTAATAAAACAACATGTGGCCCTTTTATAGTTCTTTTTAAAAAGACGATTTCATTTTACCTCATGCAAACATTCCTGGAACATTCCTTCTCAGGGTTTACGTTTCCTGTGGGAAAACGTTTCCACAAGGACATGTTGTCCATGTATTCACATGTGGTCAGGACCTGCTGCTCAGTGCTGCCTAACTCCTGCAACTTAAATTAGCAATGAAAGCACTCAGGTGACTGGCGACTTGGCTGAAGCTAACAGACAGACCTGTGATGTCCTGTGGGAGAATGAGAGGGCTGCGTCTGTCTGCAGGTGTTATAAATAAATCATTAAACATTCAAACGCAGTTCAGGAACACCCCCTCCCAGATATGCCTCGCTGTTCCTGTGTCATGCCAGGCACATGAGCAGAGGATGAGGAAAAACAAGACAGATTTTAAGGGACAGCTGACAGGGGAAGCAGGGATTCCAAACGCCCCCTGACCCCGATTATGCTGTGACACTCACTGGTCCCACTGGTCTTTTACCTGGGTCTCACTGGGTACACACAGGCAGTGACTGGTAGCTCAGGGTGAATCCCACCAATCTACAAACATGCAAGTTCTCCATTAACTTCCTGAATGTTTCATGACGATTGCAGTCATGCGACTCCAGAATTCATTGATGAAACTGATCGCTCTCTGGCAGAAGTATCGCCCCTTAATTAAAACAAGCACTTCCCAGTCCTTCTCTAACTTATTATCCAAAATAAACTGGGTTTAGGCACTGGATATTTTTCTGACTGTTTATACAGTTCCTGGAACTGACTCGTAAAAGACCACAAGGTTTGCATATGAAGCATCACTAAATAACAGTGTGTCCCCAAAGCTAAGCCAGCTGTCCCTGTTTACATGCAATGATTTAACTTCCCCAGCGCCAAGGCACAAAAACACGTACTGCATTCTGGGGGAAATAGTCCCCTTGGAGTTTAATTATGAGAAAACGCCTTCTACATCATTCGAAACCCTGACTGTTCTTCGTAGCCCAAAAATAAGCCCATAAATTTGATAAAGCTTTGGAGAATGACGTCTGTGTCTCCTTAAGCATGAAAGGATTCCCCTAAATAGAGGAGCTGGAATTGGAGCTTAGGCAGAAACTCATGGGGGGCGGGGGGGGGGTCACTCCTCCCCGAATGATTTCTGCCTGCCTCCGCAGTCTGGGTTTGATGGGTATTGTAGCGCTTAGTGGGTAAGGATCTGTCTCTATGTCCAGAAGGTCATGGGTTTGAGTCCTCAGGCTGGCAAAATAAACATATCATTGTTGAGTCCTTGTGCCTTGAGCCTTATCCCCAACTGCCCCAGGGATGCTGCCTGACCCAGGCCTTCCTCCGTGGTTTTGGAGAAAAGCATCTGCTAAATAAACTTAAACAGGGAGCATATTGAACTCTCCGCAGGAAGGATTGGTCAATTGCTTCTAATAACAAACCAGGAACAACCAATGAGCACCACCGATTGTGTCAGGATCAGCAGCCAATGAGAGCTGAGCATCCGTTCCATGTGGTGCCAGTACAGCTGGCCCACAGATCCAACTAGAACTGGCCAGAGAGGAAAAGAGCAGGTAATGTTAGCAATTAAAAATCAACAAGGAAAAAGCCTTAAGGACTCTATAACAAAATGTAATGGTAAGAGAGGCTGGGGCTCTGTCCTCGGAACCTGGGTGGGCAGGTCTGCTGGGGTCCAGTGGTCATTCTGTGCTGGGGGGGCATGCCTTTACAGCCATCTGGTTTGTTTCATGGTTCTTTCTCCAAAATGAACAAAAGTGAGGACTGTCCAGAGGAAACCCGAAAATCAGGACAAAAAGCGTCTTGAGGCAAACAGGAGAAAAAGAAAAGCAGCGGAAGTCTGTGTGCAATTTCGTTGCAGACCGTGACCCGGCCATGGAGACAGGACTCTGGCTCTGCCTGCGCTTAAATGACACCGTAATGAAAATTTATTTTTAATTTTTCCTTTTAAAGGATTGGGGCCAGCTGTCTGAGTCGATATTTAAAGCAGCTGTTTCTTCGTGAAAGGGGCATTGCAACATCATACTGCGGTAACCATAGTTCAGCCTTCATATTTTAATTCACAGCGTACCATCAACCATTATATAGTTTACAACGACAAGTTTACACATAAGGTCATATATAAAGAAACCGCTCTAATTATTTATCTGAAGGTGCGACAGCAATCATTGAAGTCGGAGCCTGAATGTATTGGCGTGGAAAACTCGGGCCAGGAGACAATAAAATCAGTATTATTGTAGGTATATAAACCCCCAACACGCATTACGGCTCCGCGATAGCAGCAATACTGCATTACGGGGATCGGTCTTCTAAGCAGGGGGTGGTCTGTGTTACAATGACCAGCGTGGGGACGTGCTAAGGAAGACATATTTCAGTCAACCAGGGTAAAGCTTCCCGGGACCGTCTGCCAAAGCACAGGGTCACGCCTCCAGACTGGCTTAGGAAAAAGACCGTGAAGATCGGGTTTGTGTGTGTGTGTGTGTGTGTGTGACTGTAAAGGTGAAAGCTGAAGAGTTACACAAAATAAGAGATTAAACTGACGGAATCCATGTTCAAATGCATATATTACGATATACACCAACAAGTAAAACAGTAAACATCAATTATTAATCCTTAGCGTTATTCAGAACTTTATTAATAATTAATAAATGGACACCGAATGCATAATTTAATTCATAAGGACAATATAATTCATATTTTATTTAACATTTTATCCTTAATGATCTCAGGATGATCACTGTATGCTGTAAACAAAAAAAACGGCAATCCTGATGAACAGTCGGGGGTCAAACATAACCCCGAGTAATCTTTATAAAATCCCGATGAATTACTTAATTTTTGATGCGCACCGTTAGGCTGATAGTATGGGGCACACGTGGCAAATAATGAGCTACGCCTGGAAGCTTTTAAAAGTCACTTAAAATCACTGCCAGAAATAAAGATTAAATCAACCAAAATCCGTACGAAACCGCCTCATGTTCATTTCATGAAGAGTGATGAAACTACACTTTGAACGAATAAAAACGGTAAACAACGTTTTCTTGACGGCTGACTTACCGGGCAGAAAAAACTTGAAGAGCAGTTCGCTTTTGCTCAGCTGCTTTTGATGCAAGTCGGAAATAATTTCTTTGTTTTAGTTGTGGGAGGGGAAAAACTGAGAAACTACTCATCCCATAGAGCTTTGTCACCGCTGAAAAAAGGTCGTCCATATTTGGGGTCTGGATTGTGTAACATCGCCGTTCATAACCGTCGCATTTTCTTCTAAAAACTACATGTCGCAAGTTACAACAATATTACATTTGCAGAAAAAATATGTAGTTTTCAAGATTAATTTCTTAACAGCTGTGACTTGTATCTATGAAAAGTGAAGTTTTGATGCGCAGTAAGTAAAAGTTATTTATACCATATATATATATATATATATATATATACACTCACCTAAAGGATTATTAGGAACACCTGTTCAATTTCTCATTAATGCAATTATCTAATCAACCAATCACATGGCAGTTGCTTCAATGCATTTAGGGGTGTGGTCCTGGTCAAGACAATCTCCTGAACTCCAAACTGAATGTCAGAATGGGAAAGAAAGGTGATTTAAGCAATTTTGAGCGTGGCATGGTTGTTGGTGCCAGACGGGCCGGTCTGAGTATTTCACAATCTGCTCAGTTACTGGGATTTTCACGCACAACCATTTCTAGGGTTTACAAAGAATGATGTGCAAAGGGAAAAACATCCAGTATGCGGCAGTCCTGTGGGCGAAAATGCCTTGTTGATGCTAGAGGTCAGAGGAGAATGGGCCGACTGATTCAAGCTGATAGAAGAGCAACTTTGACTGAAATAACCACTCGTTACAACCGAGGTATGCAGCAAAGCATTTGTGAAGCCACAACACGCACAACCTTGAGGCGGATGGGCTACAACAGCAGAAGACCCCACCGGGTACCACTCATTTCCACTACAAATAGGAAAAATTTGCACGAGCTCACCAAAATTGGATAGTTGAAGACTGGAAAAATGTTGCCTGGTCTGATGAGTCTCGATTTCTGTTGAGACATTCAAATGGTAGAGTCAGAATTTGGCGTATACAGAATGAGAACATGGATCCATCATGCCTTGTTACCACTGTGCAGGCTGGTGGTGATGGTGTGGGGGATGTTTTCTTGGCACACTTTAGGCCCCTTAGTGCCAATTGGGCATCGTTTAAATGCCACGGCCTACCTGAGCATTGTTTCTGACCATGTCCATCCCTTTATGACCACCATGTACCCATCCTCTGATGGCTACTTCCAGCAGGATAATGCACCATGTCACAAAGCTCGAATCATTTCAAATTGGTTTCTTGAACATGACAATGAGTTCACTGTACTAAAATGGCCCCCACAGTCACCAGATCTCAACCCAATAGAGCATCTTTGGGATGTGGTGGAACGGGAGCTTCGTGCCCTGGATGTGCATCCCACAAATCTCCATCAACTGCAAGATGCTATCCTATCAATATGGGCCAACATTTCTAAAGAATGCTTTCAGCACCTTGTTGAATCAATGCCACGTAGAATTAAGGCAGTTCTGAAGGCGAAAAGGGGTCAAAGACCGTATTAGTATGGTGTTCCTAATAATCCTTTAGGTGAGTGTATATCATCACGATTATACCTTTTAAAAGTGCCGGTTCCAACTCCTAACTCCGCAAGAGGGCGATCCCTCATCTCTCACGTTGTTCATACATAACGCAGGACACTGAAATCTTAAATCACGGAGCAAACCGTTGATTCCAAAATGTACATTAAACTATTTATTTAAGATATGTTGTAAACGCAAATAAAGCTCCAAATATCAAGATTAAATATATTCCCTTTTTGCGGTCAATCACTGTACAGCAGTTTGTACAATCATACAAGCTTACATGATGTCAGCATCATTTTAACGTACAACAAAGATCATTACAGTTTTATAGAATACTTTTAATTTTTTTTAATGGGTTGCTCAATGTGCCATTTGTTTATATACATTGCAACCCATGCATTACAGAAAACGGGAAGCGTGTACTTAAAAGCTAGTCGAGAAAAATAATTGACGCCTTTAGCAAGTGAAAAGTCGAATCTCTTTGCTGCGGTTAAAACAACTTTCGCCCACACCTCACCGCTTTGAGTTCTGGATCCGGATCATCGTTTTCTTTTGTTTTTTTTTGTTTTTTTTGCTGGCCGCATGATGAAATCTGTTTGCCACGCTGTCATACGTCAAAAAAAAACTTCCCGAGGACTGAATGTTCTTTCGTCTAAACCTCAACTTACTCTCGCTTCGTTGGAACTGACTCAGAGGTGCAGATGGAGGGGGGACGGGGGGGGACCTTATTGAGCCGTCCCCCACTTTTGAGGGTAAAAAATAACAAATTTTGATAAGTAGCATCCCTAAATAGGGTTGGATACCATGATGTCTGAACTCATGAAACTATCTAACATCACAAACTACTCATAGCACGTGTTTGCTGCAGGCAGGAGACCACTCACTCATCCACGTGCCTTTGCACACACGCGCGCGCATCCCCGCGCCTGTACGCACGCGCACCCACTCGCTCCATTTATCTCTGTTTTGTAGGTAGACAGAGTAAAGTGCACGCGCCCCCATTAGCCTAGACATGGCTCTAAAATGTTTCACTTCCACGAAGACCTATCGATTTAACGATTCGATTTAACTCAAACACCTGTATCACTTAAAACATTTTATTCAAAAACATCTATAGGCTACTTGCCGCATCTGTGACATCACGCATTCTGTTTATGAGAACTGAGAATTGAGCTGCCTTAAATTGTGACGGATGCAGTTTTGGTCACAGCCTCACAGGGACCTAAGCGGTATGCAACACAGAAAAAGTAGACGTAAATTCTATATAGGCTTAATCTATACCAAAGTTACGTTGGCTGCAATTGTCAACGTGATTTTGCCACATCTAATATATATTACCGCAAACAAACAATACGACTCCATCCAAGTTTTACTTAACGTTAAATTATGTCTGTTAGAATAAAGCTATAATCATATGAGTGTGGCCTCAGATAATGTGTAACATTACAGCAGAGGTGTAAAGAGTACCTGAAAACCATACTTGAGTAAGAGTACAGATACC